AAGTCTGGGAAAAGTTACTCCCTATACTGTAGCAGCATTTTCCTCTCTCTGTAAATAACCTTATATCCCCAGATACAGCATTGCATTCTCTATGGAAGTTTTATTTTTAAAAGACGATTTAAAAAAAAAAAAAAAGGATAGAAGTAGAGAATAACCAAATATCCTAAGAGAAAGGTTCTTTTAAAATTTTGTTAATCAGATTTATTGCAAGGGGAAAGATTACAATGCAGATTATTGTGAATAGGATTATGTATGTACTTTGGTCCTGCCTTTTACAGGTAGTACTTGACTTACAACAGTTCATTTAGTGACCATTCAAAGTTACAACAGCACTGAAAAAAATTGACATATGTTGCATTGCAGCATCCCCATCTCTCCTGGGATCAAAATTCGGACGCTTGGCAACTGGCTCATATTTATGATAGTCGCAGTGTCCGGGGGTCCTGTGATCCCCTTTTGCAACCTTCTGACAAGCAAAGCCAATGGGGAAGCCAGATTCATTTAACTGGGTTACTAACTTATCGACTGCAGTGATTCACTTAACAACTGTGGCAAGAAAGGTCGTAAGATGGGGCAAAACTCACTTAAATGATTCACTTAGCAACAGAAATTTTGGGCTCAAATGTGGTCTTAAGTTGAAGGCTACTTGTATCATTGTGTGTGCTGAGGTGGGTCTTTCTTTAATGCCTTTGATCTCCACCTCTCTCTTGTTTTACCGGGGGGATTGGCTAACCATTTAGGTATATGAACAGGATGTGTTGGTTCCTGTTTTCAGTATTTTGCAAATATTCTAGGTTCAGACAGCATGGCTGAAGATGGGATACCTATTGACAGAAAGCCGAAGCAGTCTGAACCTTCCCAATCCTGCCTTTCGGCCTTGCTTCCCATTTATCTTGGTACAGTTTCTGGTTATAGGTTATGTAGTACTTTTCTACCTTTATGGAAGAAAGAAGTATCTTATCCTAATTTCTTACCCTTGAGATTAGCTTGTAAAGAAATGCAGCTGTCTCAGAATCTGAGTAATTTACCCATATATGGCATGGCATGATAATGATAAGACAGAAAATATAGTGAACTCTAGCATCACTCCTGGTCTTGGTAACTCTGAGGCATGTAGCTAGTATTTTTTTTTTAATTTATATTATATTTTAATACACACACACACACACACACACACACACACACACACAGAGAGAGAGCACATTGCTGAAAAAGGAAGAAAAAAAAGAACCCAACGTGAATAAAGGGCATTTATAAGCTTTATATGACTAGGTTATATTTTTCAGTGTCTAATTAGTTTTAAGTAGTTGAATATATTATTTTTAAAACTCCAGATCATTATTAAGATCCAAATAATGTATAAATATCAATGGCAATCAGCAGAATATAGATCATAAAATGAATTAGGAATTGTAATAATGTCAGCCTGAGCAGTTGAAGATCTATTTGAAGATTAAAATATTAAGACTTTATGTTAAGAGAAAACCAAATCTGGATATACTGTAGTATAAGCCTCTATATAGAATTATAATTCAAAAATGATTTCCAATTTGAATTTAATTCAGTGTCAAATTTACTTTTAAGATAGGATGTTACTTTGGATACTGAAGTAGACTCCCACAATTTAATTAGCATTCTTCCGCAGAAGATAGTGTACATATTGTGTGTAAAGAGTCATAAGGTATTCTTGTAATAGTTATTTATATGCAAAACTAATTAAGAATACTTCATGGGAATATAACTATTAGTAATTATAACTATAAGTAATTATTTACTTTTTTTAAATAACAAATTTAAGAGAAAAATTAGCTTTTAATTTTGTCATTCTGTTGTAATTTTCTTAAAATTGTTAGACTTTACTAAATTGCAATATGGAAAATATGGAAAAATAAACAAATTTGATTGTTACATTTCCAACTTTTAGAAAATGAATTGTCTGTTTTAGCAACTAATACTGGAATAATAAACTCATGTAAAACCCACCAGTTTTCTTTAATATTTGGTGTTAATGTCATTCCACTATTAACATTTCTATTGTTGCAAATTTGTTGTTGTATATAAATTCTGAATCTATTTAACCATACAGTCTTTAATTTGTTCATTGTTCTGACTCATATTTCATCGATAGTTTGTAAGATCTAACAAATCTCTGAAAACCTATGTTAGGTTTTCATATTCGATCAAGTGTTCCACATTGTTTTTGGAAATAATTTTTAAACTATTGCTTATTTAAAATTCTAAAACTGGTAAAGTAGTTCCGGCCATTCTCAAAAAGATGTTATGTTTGCCTTATTAAAAATAAGATCTTGCAGTTTATCTCATTTGATACCTTTCCACTGGGCAATGCTTTTCTTTTTATAAAAATAAATATTTAATAACAAGGTGAGAGATGATAATTTTATTTTTTTCCTGAATTTATTCAAATTTTTTAAATAAGTTGCTAATTATTGCATAATGTCTTACAGATGTTTATTTCTGTTTCTGTGTATATTCCAAAAATATTTGTGTAGACCATTTGAGAGTCTTGCTCCCTCAGTACAGGTGATATGATCCAAACAGTAATCCAGGTTAAACAACCAGTTTGATAATATAGTTTAAAAGATTGGGGCTGCCAGGTTACCTTGTTCTTTCAAATCCTGTAGCATTGTAAAGTTAATCCTTGGTGATTTATGGAACTATACAAATTGTGTAACTTGCCTCTGACAATAATGTATTACTTTATTTTCAGTATTTATGAGAATCATTTAGAACAAAAAAATTAATCATTGGTAGAATATTCATTGTAATGGCTGTAATTCTTCCTAACCAAAGACAGTTTTACTTTCTCCATCTTAACATATTAGTTGTTATATTTTTTCAGATGACCGAGTAATCATTTTTTAAAAGATACTATTTTTGTCAAATCATGCCTACGTATAGGTAGTCCTCATTTAACGATTGACCCATTTATTGCTCATTTACAGTTGCAACAGTGATGAAAAAATAATTTTGTGACCAAAATTCCTTCCTCAGTTATATTTCATGACAACTGAGTTTTCTTCCTATTGATCTAATGTTTAGACCAAATATACTGCTGTTCATGTGTATTCTATTATCGAGTCTAAATACAGTATTTGTGGCTATTTCAGTTGAATTATTGTAAGTACATCATCATCAGTATATATTTTCAGTTTATATTTGTGGGTTGCTAATTTAATTCCAGAGCCTAATGCCAACAAAGATAAGCAGGCAAATTTCATTATAGTACATGATTGTGATAAAAACCATTTACTACCGTGTTTCTCCAACAATACGGCCTCCACCAATAAGAAGCCCCACCATGTTTTATTGGCATAAAATCAAATTAAGCCCCTCCACCCAAATTAAGGCCCATATTAAACATGCGAAATGGGGGGAATGGCGGGGGGGGGCTTGCCGTTAGGAAGTACTTTTGTTGCATGCCCGGATATGGTGCTGCCTGCGTTGGTGGGGCACGTCATATCGGGAGACCTTCCGCCACCATTGCTTTCCCTTCTCCCTTGCTGCCGTGGCGTTAGAGCAACGCCGCGGCGTTTGGCACAGCCACGTGCGGCCAGCCAGGGCTCCTCCCTGCAACTGGAGCCCTGCGGAGACACTTGGCTTCAGGCGCTCCTGTCGCCGACTTCCCTTTGCCTTCGAAGGTAAAGCGAATTCTTTAAAAAATGACACCCTACTACAACAAAGCCTCCCCTGCCCGAGAGAGCAGCCCAACCCCACGTGGGGAGGCGAATCTCCCGGGGCCGCAGTGCAGGATCGGCCCACCTCGGGAGAAGTGCCCAGCTGCCATCCCTGCCTGGCGCCGGGCAGAGCGCGAAGAGCTTCGCCTGGGGCACCCAGCACAGCTGACAGGCGGGCCCTCCTGCCCAGCGGCAGAGCTCTCACCAAGGCAGCGAGAGCCTCCCCGCTGGGCCCTCCACTCATCCCACCAGGGCCACGCCGGAGCCATACGGGCTGGACAGAGCTGGGAAAGCGAGCCGCGGGTGCACGCCTGCCTGCCAAGCGAAAGAGCCGGGCTGACCCAAGCTTGGGTTCCTTCCCAAGTCCCTCCAGCCCGAACCCGAAGGGGTTACCGGGAGAGGCCGCCCGAGGCAATGATAGCACCCACCCATCCGTGGACAGGGAGGCAAGGCGATGGCCTGCGCCACGCTGGAGGGACTTGGGAAGGAAGCCAAGCTCAGGTCAGCCCGGCTCTTTTGCTTGGCAGGCGGGTGCGCACCCGCGGCTCGCTTTCCTGGCTCTGCCCAGCCTGCA